TTTGAACAACACGCACATATAGTCTGAGAAGAATAATCCATTCAAAATCTCCTTTAAAAAACACACATGTGAAAGGAAGGAACTATAGCGGTCTCGCCTTCTTCACATTTTATAAATTGCTTTAACTTAATGTAAACCTCGATTTTGGGAGGAGAGCGGAGAAAGACGAATGGATTTCTAGCCGCACATATTGGTGGAATTGGAAGCTCGAGTTTACCCTGTAGTTGTGAAACTTTTTCTGCGCGTACCAGGGCGCTGTCCATTTTGTCCAGAATTTCCCCTAAAGAGAAATAAAGAGGAAAAAGAGAGGGGGGGGGGAGAACTGTAGTAATATAGAGATACAGAAATATAACCTAACAGAAAGCCCAGCTTTGAACCAAATGAGCAAGAACAACACACCCCTATCTGCAAATTGATTCGCATTAAATAGGCTTTTTTTCCCCGCTTCCACCCCTCACTTCCTTGATTTCTGCCCTCCCCTCAAGCCCTTAACTGTACGAAAATTGTGTGCATGTGTATGAAACTTATGTGACAGACACACAGTCAGACACTATTAACTGAAGCTTTTGAGAAAAAGTCAGTTTGGATGGCAATTTTGAAAGTCCCAACCCGCCCTCCCGCACAGAATAAACATTCCCAAATAATCCTCACTCACCCAGGGCCCCCTCCCAGGTCATTCTGCAGTTTAAGTTCAGAATTTGGGGCGCGGGGGGGGGATAGCAAGCCGAATTAAAACAACAACACTCCCAAACTCCTGACTTTAAAATGTAGCCCATCAAGCAAAAACAACTACGTGGGTTTTGTTCACGGCAGCGCTTAAATAAGGCAGAAGCAGGCGAATCCCATTTGTAAGTTACGCGAATGTTAGAGAACCTCGATCGGACCCTCCTTTTTTCCTCTCCTTCTGTCTTTCCGGCTTCTCTTCCTTGTTCTCACTTCATCAGCCTGAGCGCCTCGTCGCGCTCTTCGGAGGTCCTGCTCCGCCTGCGAACCGTTTCTGATTCCGCCCAAATCAAATATCATTAATAAAGATTAAGCGGCTAATTATGACGCCCTCCAGACGTGGCCTGGAAGTGGGCCGCTCTGGCGCGTGGGCCACGCACCTGTCTCTTGGCAAGAGCGCTCTCCTGCCTGTTACATTATCTGGTCTTGCGGGAGAAATTTCTTCCATCTTTGCCAAAGGAAAGGAAGGTCGAATATATTCCTAACCGCGCAGCTACCCTCTCCATTCCTTCTCAAATAAACCCAAATCATCGGAACTGAATTGTTTTCGGAGAGGAGTTTGGAGGAAGAGAAAGGCAGAGTTCCTCTGCCTGCCTGATATTTTAGACAGTCTCCCTTACAGAGAAAAACCAGAACAAAACCATTTGGCCATCAACTTTGACGCCCGAGCAAACCAATTCTTGGAAAGCGTGCGCCACTGATTTGAACTTGAGTTCTCAAGAATGCAGCGGTCCTAAATCTATTTTTTATATATATTTGGGGTTCGAGTGGAAATAAATGAGACTTCCGAGGAAGCACGCTTCTCGGTGGATGTTTTGGGAAGATTGCAACGTATGCAAACATACAAACAAACGGGTATGTAAAGTGCACAACGCCAAGGCAATGAGTGTCATTTTAGGGGCATTCATTCCTGCGGTTGAAATGACACTAGATTCGCAGTGTTACTGCAGAATTAAAACTCTCTCTCCCTTTCCCCTCCACCTTCATTTGCCCATTTTAAGGCCGATCTCCTTACTTTTACGCACGCACTTCTCCGGGGTATCTTTTTAAAAAAACCAAAGGTCACAGAACGGAGCACAATGGCGACTTTCCAAGCTGCTTTCTGCCTCCCCCAGCTAGCAACCCACCAATAACTACAAGCGATTCCCAGCTAGACCTGCGATGGGAGATCGTCGGTGGGGGAGGGCAGGGAAAGGGGAGAGCAGTGTATGTGAGCGGGTGGGGCTGGGAGAGAGAGATTAAGCAATGGGGCGCCCAAACAAGACGGAAGCATCTCCCCTCTCTCGGATCTAGCTGTTAAATGTAGTCCCAAGCCGCTTGGCACTGGGTTCTTCGTAGACACCTGCCCAGACGCGGGGGACGAGATCTAACTCAGGTATTTGGTTTCCTTCTCCGATTCTCTTGCTTTCCCCACCCTCTTATGATGAGTTTCTCTATAGTTTCTTCTTCTTCTTTTGGACAAGGGGGTGCTTTAAACCGGCCCGCGTCCTTTGCAAGCTAATCGGCCCCTTCCCTCTCCAATATTTTAGCCAGGAGCTAGATCTGCTTCTCCTTTTCTGAAAAGCGAACCATCGCTGCAACAGGGGCGCACGCAGGGAAAAGTCTACGGTGTACCGCTGTGTCTCTCCACCTCCTCACTCCACTGTAAATTACATCCATCTCTCTCTCTCTCTCTCTCTCTCTCTCTCTCTCTCTCTCTCTTAAAAAGGAGGTGTGTGTCCCCCCCCCTAGGTTTGGATTTTGTCGTGTGTGTGTGTCGGAGAGGGAGGGGGAGACTCCTGCCCCGTTTACCTTCGATTCCCCGAGTCCTTCAGGAGGGCGCAATGCGGAGTGAACTGTATCTCGCCGAACTTTGAATCATTCATTAGCACCTTATAATTACTCTGCTAATTAGGCTGACACGGCACTTAATCGGGAGTAATACGTCGCCTTGTCACTGGCAGTTCGCATTACTCTGACATTCAACAAGAGACAGGTCGGAGTCGTGGCGTCCTGGAGAAAGTGACGCAAGTTGAGGATCTCCAAAGAATCGGTGGAAAATGTCACACACACACACACACACACGTATATGCACTCTCTCTCTCTCTTCCGGAGTCTCATGCGGATAAGTAGGAACTATTCCGGTTTTAAGCCATGGGAGCTTAGTACAAAGGGAGAAACCAGAGTGAAGTGTGATAAGGAAGGAAGGAAGGAAGGAAGGAAGGAAGGAAGGAAAAGAAAAGGGGGGAAAGCACTAGAGACCCCTGGAATCTGGCAGAGTGGAGTTGGCGGGCGGCACCCGAGCCCTACACTTTGCATCTGGCCCTGGGCCTCGCTGCGCCGGTGAGCTGCCTCTCCAAAGGACCAGGCATGCAGGCGGCGAATGGGCATCTCTTTGCCCGATTCCCATCTTTTCACCAGGCGCGGCTGCTCCCTTCCCTTCGCTCTCCTCTTGGAGAAACCGAAGCGAGCCGTTTCCCCACTTGGCTCCCGACCGAGATCTCATCTGGTCCATCTCTCATCCCTGTTTCCCTGTTCCGCCTCCTCATTCCTAGCTTCCACCATCCAGGAATGTTGCATTATTATTATTTTTAAAAAAGGAAAACAAAAAAGACACCATACTCACCTGTCTCCCAGACAAAGAAAATATGGGAATAGGGGAGAGCAGTAAGGAATCCCTAGAAAGCTGAACTGACCCCCCCTCTTCCTCCTCTTTGGAATGGATGGATCCCCTGTGCGGATGCTTGTTTCGCTTTTGTAATGCATCGCCTTGATTTAAATATCTAGGGCACGTGAGATCTCACACCTCCCAACAGCTGGCAAACATAATATATATATATATATATATATATATATATATATATATATATATATACTGTAACTGTTCTGTCTCACCCCTTAAATATATATCTCTCTCTGTCCTTTAAAACAAATCCTGCATTTCTTAATGATTTTTATTGGCGTCTAGTGTGGATAATAGCTAACCATTTACATCCAGATATAAAATTGGGGAGGGAAGGAGGGAGGGTGGAAGCCTGCAGATTCTAAAAAAGAACAGTCCCAGTTCTGAAACTGACAAGGTCCCTTGTCCTCCCCCATCTCCCCCCCCGCCCCCGCCCCTTCTCCAGCTTCCCTTCACTCTTATTGGCTGCCAACTGCTGAGCGTCAGGTTCGACCATCGTGGCTGCCAATGAGGGGGCTCCTATTCTACGGCGGACCAAAACCGAAAAGAAACAACCCCCCCCCACTCACACACAAAGTGGGGGGGGGGAACCCACCACCCCAAACAAACCTAAACCCTCTTGGATGGTTTAGAATAAAGTGCGCGCGGGCGGATGGCAATGGCTGTGACGTCACGGGCGGAGTGGCAGGAGAGAAGGCGGCTGGCGCGAGGAAGAGGCAGGCAGTGGCCGAGGCTCGGCGTCGCCTCCTCCTCCTCCTCCTCCTCCTCCTCCTCCTGCTTTTGCACCACGCCTCAACTTTCCAAGAAAGTTCAATAACTCCTGGGCGCAGGCGAGAGAGAGAGCGCGCGAGCTGGAGAGCCGAGAGGCTGGCGCTGGGAGACCGAGGTGCCGCACCAGGCAGCCCCGCCGGCTCGCCCGCCCCGCTGCGCCTCTGCCTTCGCCATCAGCATCATCGCGCCTCTTCTTCTTCTTCTTCCTCCTCCTCTTCTTCCTCAAGCCATCGCCTTCCTCCGGCTGCATCGCGCGTCCCCCTTCCACAGCGCCCAGGCGATGCCGTCCATTCCACCGGGGCGAGCGCGGCTGCTCTCTCTTAGCGCTGCCTGAACAAGACGCCAAACACGTGTGTCAGGCTGGGGGTGGTGGGGGGCGTGTGTGTGTGTGGTGGGGGGCGAGTGTGGGGGGCCAGCTCTTCCAGAGGGTGCCGATCTCGCGCCTTCCCTCCGATCTTTCCCCAATTTCCCTCTGTTCCTTCAAGCTCCCCTTGCTCCATCGTTATCCCCCCCCACTCTCCAGAGTCTCTCTCCGTCTTTTGTGTGTTGTTCATGTCCGCATCTCGTCGCCCCCCCTCCGTGCTCTGCCTCCCCAAGCCCTCTCCTTCCCCCGTGTGAATTTCGGCCTTAGACAGCCGTGCTTGGCGAGCTCCCGAGTCGTCCAGGATTGATCGGCGTCGATTGTTTTGTTTTGAAATCCGTGGGTCGGTCGATCTTGCAGATTCCACTCGGTGCAAAAAAACAAATAAAAAAAAACCTGTTCGTGCGAGAAAGAGAGAGAGAAAAGGAGCCGCGTTGGGGGAGGTCTGGGGGATGATCGAAGGCGCTTCTTGGAACGGCGACCATGGAAGGGTCTAGCGGCTCCAGTTTTGGAATAGACACGATTTTGTCTAATCCCAGGTCCGGCAGCCCGGGCATGATGAACGGGGACTTCCGAGCGGCCCACGGCGAGGCCCGCGTGGCGGATTTTCGCAGCCAAGCCACCCCTTCCCCCTGCTCGGAAATAGACACTGTGGGGACGGCTCCCTCGTCGCCCATCTCGGTCACGGCGGAGCATCCGGAGCAGCAGCAGCAGCCGCCGCAGCATTTGGCGCAAGACGGGCTCCCTGCGCAGCATCTTCACCTCCATCACCCGCAGCAGCAGCAGCAGCAACAACAAAGTTTGCAGCCATCTCCCCAGCAGCAACAGCAGCAGCAGCAGCAACTGGGTTCGGGCAGCTGTGCCCCCAGGACTTCCACTTCTTCGTTTCTCATCAAAGACATTTTGGGAGACAGCAAACCGCTGGCGGCTTGTGCACCTTACAGCACCAGCGTCTCGTCCCCGCATCACACCCCCAAACAAGAGAGCAACGCGGCCAGCGAAAGCTTCCGGCCAAAGCTGGAGCAGGACGACAGCAAAACCAAACTGGACAAACGCGACGACTCCCAGAACGAGCTGAAATGTCACGGTGAGTAAAAGGCAGCGTGCGCCTTTTCCGTCCTTCTTCCTTCGCCTGCCTTTTTTTTTTTTTACGCGCGAGGAGGCTTCGAACGTTCTCGGCGTTCCATTGTTTATGTTTCGAACGTTCGGTACGTTCTCGCGGCGCTCCCCCCCGAGTTTCGCGTCCAATCATGCCGTCCTCGAATGTTTCTGTTGCACGAAATTCCTCCCGGAACTTTGGACGTAGACTTGGAACGTTGAGATGATTCGGCCATAAGCGAAGAACTGAGACGTTTTAGAAAAAAGCACGGGGAAAATAAAGCCAAGCCCGGTCAGGAAACTGAAAAGCACTTTCAGTTTATTTGGGTGGTTTTTTTTGCAAAGAAATAGATAAACAGAATTCTCAAACTTTTCTTTTTGCATTTTAAAGAATTAAATATTTAAAGAATATATATATATAGCTGGGAATATTTAATCTCTCTCCGTAAGGTTGTGCATATTTTCCTTTACCTCCCATTAAAAAGTTGGTAGTGGTGCAAGAAATTTGTGTTCTGAAAGTGTGCTCTTCAGCAACACTAATATAATAGCTGGGTGTGATTAGATATTTTAAAATGCATATATGTATTATTATTATTATTATTATTACTCCTGTTTACACTATTTTTAAAACACAGCTCGCTGAAGTTTAGGAACTATTAATTAATAAGACTCATTTCCGAGAGCGTTCAAAGAAAGTGATCTTTTAAAAAAAGTTTTTAAAAGATGGTTGATCAGATTGGATCGCCCTTTTCATTTTTATTTTATAACTCTCGTGAAGCAGCCTCGCCAGTTGATTTTATACTGTATTGCTGGTTCCGTGGGTTATCTTAAGGAGTGTGCAAGAAATGTGCATTTTCTTAAATCCAAATATATAAGGGCGCGTGTGTGCAGCCCTGTAACATTCTGCCAATCGCTGGGGAAAATAATAATAATAAAAAGCTGCTGCCAAGGGAATCCCACTTATCAGGGCAGGAGCCTTTGAAACGCGGAGGTAAGAGCAGACACATTTTGCTAATTTTACAGCCTTCAGATATTTTGCAGTGGCTAATAGATGGGCGCTCCAGTATGCTATTCATTTTGCCATTTTAGCATTAGCATAAGAGTGTACAAAAACAGATGTACAGCCTCGTCTAGCAATTTTTTTTTGTTGGTTAGTTGGTGCACCAACCTCCCCAGTGGGTCAATTAGAGAGATTATTGTTCTTCCTGCAGGGAAGATCAAGGAGCGCCGAGAAAGAGAGAGAGAGAAGGGGGGAGGGAGAGAAACACCCCAGTACGAACACAGATGGATTGACATATCGATTTCCTAACATTTCAGCACCAGAAAACCCAACCCAGAACAGAACTCCTAGTTGCCAAAGAGAACCCGGCAACCCTTGCGCCGTCGTCACCTGGGCAGGCGAAGTCCAACTTTGCTTCTTTCCCCCGTGACGTAGCAGTCCACGGCTTGGTTTTATAATAACCGTTTTCCCCAAGTGCACTTCGAAAGCGGGGAAAAGAAATAGGGATTTGTCGGACGGAGAGGGAAATCAAGCCCCTCCAGAAAGACGGGTGTTATTTGTGCGCGACAGGAGGAATCACCACTCCTGGGAAATCCTTTTTTGAGTCACAACCTCCTCCCTAAGATTCAGTTCTTAATCCATGGGACCCTACTGCGGCCAACTAAATTATGGACTGCGGCGAAAAAATACAACCGCTCCCCAGCAAAAAATAAGTAAACCATAATTAGTTCTACTGAACAAATCGGTTGAATCCAACTAAGATCCAAAACAAGGAAGGTCTTCAGACCAGGCTGGGGAGATATTGTGTTTGGGTTTGCGCTGCCCCAGTGCACTGTCTCCGCGCTTTCCTCCGGCGCTAAAACCCGACCTCTGCGTCTTGCTCTTTCGTAGGGACAAAGGAAGAAGGCGACCGTGAGATCTCCAGCAGCCGAGACAGCCCTCCTGTGCGAGCCAAGAAGCCCCGCAAGGCGCGGACGGCCTTCTCGGATCATCAGCTCAACCAGCTGGAGAGGAGCTTCGAGAGGCAAAAGTATCTCAGCGTCCAAGACCGCATGGATTTGGCGGCCGCCCTCAACCTGACCGACACGCAGGTCAAAACCTGGTATCAAAACCGAAGGTAGGGCAGGCAGAAGCACGTGGAGGGGGCGAAGGCCTTTCCCCTGGTTCTCCTTGGCATTCCCTCCCCAGTTTTCCCAATACACCGACTCCCTTATGTTTGAATTAAACTGTAATTTAGGAAGGGGGAACTCAACAGGAAAGCAACCCGCAGCCTGGGGAGTTGCTGTCCTGCTTCCATTTCCCTTGGTTTTACTCCCGGAAAATCTGCAGATTTGGCTGCAACCCTAAAAAGGACTTTCCTGCGCGTAAGTCTGCTTTTTGGGGAGCGGGGAAGCCAAATAAAGTCTGCGGTTTCCAAACCGCTTCACTCCACTGCCCCAATCCAAGGTTCTTTACCAAGAGATAAGAAACACGGAAACGAAGCGTGCTCTGTGTTTGGCTTTCTCCAACCACGACGCCAAATCGAGCTGGGGACGGTTGCCTTCACTCCCTGCGGGCCCCGCAAACCCCCGCCAGTTTGCCCCTCTCCTTTCCTACACGTGTACCGTGGTAGTAAGTAAAAGACAGGAATCAACCCCCTCTCCCCCACAGCAAAACAAAGGATGGAAAGTGGTGGAGAGTTAACGTGTCAATCAGTGGCGTGGCTTCTTGGGAAAGCTAATTAACATGGCAGGTGTCTCGACGTGGAGGGATCCTGCCTCGACGGGTGACCTTAGAGTTCCAGGCTAGGGTCTGGCCCCTTTCCTTAAGGCCCCAGCTTCCTCTTGGTCGCTCTCCCAGTTTCTCTCTTCCCCTCCCCCCCCCATCTTCCTTCGCCCCATGTTTCTTTCTCCCTTTAAAAATTCGGTTCTTGGCGCGCCTCTCCAACCCACTTGGAAAGCGCTGCCTTTTTTCCAAGCGTTTCCTCGCTCTTGGCGCCTGTGGATAAGAAACTGGGGTGGGGGGCTGGATGAAGAAACCAAGTCTTAAATGAGTATGTCTCCCCACCCCTCCCCTCAAGAAATCAACAACAACAAAGGCGCTGCAAGAGGAGAAAGCGGGGATTTCTAGCTTCTCGTCGATGACGGCTGCGTTGGAAAAGCGCGTCCAGTTGTCGTCTTTGCCATAATTTTCTGTCTCATTACATACGGTCGCAGCCACCCTAATTCTGTCGGAAAACATTAGTGTCATTTATCGCCAATCTAAACAGCAGCGCCATGTTTATTAATTTGGCTGCAATTGCTGGGTCGTGATTTTGTGTGTGTGTGTGAGAGAGAGAGGAGGAGAGCGAAAGAGCGAATGTGTGCAGGATGCACCAGCTCCGGCAGTTTACTGGGGCTGAGAGAGATGCATGGAGACTCAGAATGGGGACGTGTGTGTGTGTGTAGCACACACACACACACACACACACACACACGGAAACTGCACTAAGGTTCTGGAATAATTGACTCGCTATATACTCTGATTATTTATCAGCGTTCCTTTAAGCCGGCTGGCAGGAGTTGGATGTGTGTATGTTGAAATATTCGAACAAATGGCTTAATTTGCTTTCGGTTGGGTGATGCTTGCTGTGAATCACACACACACACACACACACACACACACACACCAGACTAGGATTTTGGAAGAACAGAATTCTCAGTTCTTCGTTCTAAATTATCCTCTCAGAATTTAGTCTAAAACCCATTTAGTTTAAAATCAACTTCAGTGGCAGGAGGACCCCATGACCCAGGCTGACACTTCCCATCCCAATAAGTCTTCTAAAACGGTCAAAATAAAGACGCAAAGCGTTTTTGTCGTCTTTTTGGTATTGGGTGAGATTATTTGCAGAATCAAATTATCTCGATCTGAATTGTCGGTAAAAGTTGGAGCTTCTGTGTAGGTTCTCTTTTTTTATATATAAGGGAGGAGGCGCTTACCCCCTGCCCCCCCCAAGAAGTAATTGCCTCAGGAATGGAAATGTTCGGGGTTTTTTAGTTGTCCCTTTTAAATGTGTCTTTTAGTAAGTCGGACTGAGCTGTGCCTTCCCTGTTTTAAAGCGCAGAAAATTAACAAAGGCGAGGCTGGCGGGAGAAAGAGAGTGGCTGTTTGGTTTGAGGAGCTGATAATGAAAAGAAAAAGAGGTTTCAAGTTTTGTTGTATGCTTGGAAATAGCAGACTTTCAGGTGGGTAGTTTTCAAGTCACCTGCCTTCAGTTTCAGAGATAGGACGAGTTAGAGCCATCCACCCTCCATTTCTTCCTTCCTCTGGTTCTATCGGTGCGTAACGCACTGCTTCGTACGTTCTATTATTTTGAAGCGATTATTCCTCATTAACCATTGCCCTTTACGCCTATGCAATCCGGACGATGGATGCAATAATTTTAGAGCCGCTATCACCTTTAAGGAAGAAAGGATCATCTCAATTATTCAAAGGAGGGAAATAAATCAGAGATCTACCCAAGTGGCGCCCTTGATTCTGCTCCTACAAGAAGGGCTCCCCTCTTATTTTGCTTTTTAAAAAGAGGGTGAGGAGTTGTCCTTCCGATCCGATCCTCCTGTCCCCCCCCCGAGTCCCCCCTCCCCCCCCCCGCAATTTGTGGGCCCGGCCTAGCGGCGTCTCTTTCTCCCCTTCTCCCGCAGGACCAAGTGGAAGCGGCAGACGGCCGTGGGCTTGGAGCTCCTGGCCGAAGCGGGGAATTACTCGGCTCTGCAGCGGATGTTCCCGTCGCCCTACTTCTACCACCCGAGCCTGCTAGGCAGCATGGACAGCACCACGGCGGCCGCGGCGGCCGCAGCTATGTACAGTAGCATGTACCGGACTCCTCCGGCGCCTCACCCCCAGCTGCAGAGGCCTCTAGTCCCCCGGGTGCTGATCCACGGCCTTGGACCCGGAGGGCAGCCGGCCCTCAACCCTTTGTCCAACCCTCTCCCGGGGACCCCCCACCCGCGGTGAAAGCGCTCCCCCTGGGGGGGAAGGGAGGGGAGCTTCGCCCTCCCCCAGCTCCCCGCCCCCGCGCATTCCGCTAACAGACTCCCCCGCTTCACTCCCCCTCACTTAAGACAACTGCTAATCAGCCAAGGATGGAGCCCAGACGAGTGAGGAGGAGGAGGAGGAAGGGGGGGGGCGTTGGATGCGAGAGGTTCTCCAAGCAGCGAGAGAGAGAGGAGGCGACCGGCTCCGAGCGAGCGCGGGGACTCTGGAACCCGTAAGTGAATCTTCACATCCAGCCAGGCCCGCATCAGTCCGTCCCTTGGCCGGAGGAGGAGGGGGGAAGAGAACTGCGGGGGGAGGGGGGGTTTGCTTGCGATCGTCTCTAGGAGAGAGTTGGGGAGGGGGTGCAAGAAAGAGACTGAGATCCAGCCAGTCGCAGCAAGGACTCTTGAGTGACACACACACACACACACAGAGAGAGGACGCCCCTCCCCCCGCAACACTGATCCCAGAAGATGAGGAGTCGGCGGCGGTCTTGGGGTGACGGAGAAGTTTGCACTGAATTTCTCATGACCTTTTTTTCTTACCGAAAAGTGGCATGCTCCGTATGCTATATATATATCTATATATCTATATCTATATCCATATATAGATATATACGAGATATGTAAAATGTACATTTTGAACAGGCTGGTGTGCGAAGTGATATATCATATTTATTATATGTTGTTCCAAAAAAGAAAAGAAAAAAGAAAGAAAAGAAAAAAAAAGAAAAGTCACATATACATTAGTGGTGGTGGTGGTGGTGGGGGACGACAACGAAGCAAAACAAAACAAAAAAATCTTCCCCCTCTACTCTCTCCTTTTCCATGCTTTTTTTTTTTTGATTCAGTAAAAAAGAAAAATAAATGCTTAGATGACGACGACAAAAATTATATAGATTTTTGATGACTGAAAAATGACAAAACGAAGGGGAAAAAAAGGAAATAAACTTTTATCTTTTTTTAAACAAATGCGTAGGTCCAAACTAGCTAATTTTCTTAAGCCAAACGCGCTTGGCCGCGGGGACGGGGGACGGGGAACTCTGCGAAGAAATGCGCAGAGCGTGCCTGTGTCTGTGTGCGATGCTCAAATTCACCCCACCAAATCGTGTGCTGCTGGCGTTCCGTTTTTGAAAAGTTGATAAGAGTTTGTGACTTTTCGAAGCAACAGATTGGAAGGGAGAATCAAGTGTTTTCTTTGGGCGAGGGGAGAGGGGAAGGGCTTGCTGCTTCAAGCTTGTGCGGTGTAAGATCCATTGACAAATAAGCAATTTTGTTTTTGTTTTAAATTTTTTGAGGAGGGTGGATTTGGTTCTGAATAGGCCGTTATAAACTGGGAATGTTGGGGCTGCTTTTCCTCCTTCGCTGCTGTGTACAATTCTCTCTCTCTTGTTTTTGGCTCCCGTTGTTGAATATTTAAAAGTGGGGGGCGGGGAGAGCAAGAGAGAGAGCGAGCGAGAGAGAGAGGACTTGAATGGTTTGCTAAAGGTGGCCGGATGTCTGGGAAACCAAAATGTGGTCTCCCGGCCTGGCAGCTGTTCCGAGGCCGCAGAAGCGCTGGGGAAAAACGCGGAGGACAGACAGGAAGCGGGAGACGCTCGAGGGGGGCAATTAGGAGCGTGGACCCCAGGCAGGAGAAAACCACCCCCGGTCCACAGCCGAGGGGGATGTTTGCGTGGAGGGGGCGGCGGGAAGGGGGGCGGGCGAGAGACCTGGAGATCTTTGATCTCTCCCCAGCCCCAGGGGTCTTTTTTCTCCCTTTCCCTCCAAAGACCCCGCTTCTCCTTTTCTCCCTCTGCAAATCTTTTTTGCTCAGCTTTTTATTTTTAATTCTCCTTAAACCTCCCGTTCTTGAAAGGGGCAGGCAATTGGGTGGTGGGGTTGTGTGTGTGTTGTGTGCGCGGACTGGAAGACTTTGCGAGGTCTGGGTTGAGAAGGAGCAAGAGGGAAGGCGGGGGAAATGGGGAACAAAAAATAAAAAACAAAACAAAACGGGGTGTGTGTGTGAAAAGGAGAAACTGTGGCTGGCTTTGCGACGGAACTGGGGGGGGGGATAACCGCTTGAAAGTGATGCAAAAGGAGAGGCGAGCGGAGCGGCTCCTTCCCTCACTCTGGCCTCTTTGGCCTGAGTTGGGGGGGTGCCTACCTCTCCCCCCCCGTCCGTTCTGCCAATCCGGATCAGCCCTCCAAGCCATCAGAAAGCCCCAGCCTTGGAAGAACGAGCGCGCATCTCTCCCTCCCCTCCTCCTCTTTAAAATTAGAAAGATATACAGCAATTACCTATAAAACATTCATAACGCCCGTCCAATATTATCACCTCCTCTGAGGTTTGTGGTTGATTCTCTTTGCTTGTGTGGCTTTTCTTTTTGATTCTCTAAAGGAGGGGAGGGTGCGGGGGCGTGGGGGGGGGAGAGAAAGCGAGTGTGAGGTGATGGGGAGCGGGGAAAGGAGGAGAAAGAGAGAAGCAGCTAGAAAAGCCTGCGGGCACATTTTATTTGGGCTTTGCTAATTAGAGAATGGTTTGCTGATTCTCTCTCTCCCTCCCTCCCTCCCTCACCTCTCCTGCTAATAAATTCGCGTTCAAAACCATCTTGACCTTGGCCGCGTCCTCACAAAAGGGCCCGGAAACGCCCACCTCATTTTCGGCTCATGTCACAGCGGACAATTACGCGGCCACCGAGCTGCGGGCGACGAAATTATGCTCAGAGCGCAGCCAAACCTACCCAACCCTTTGCCCAGCCTCGCGATTCCCCGGTTCCCGTGTTAATTAGGGCTTGGAAATAAATAATAACAACGAGTCCGGGGACCCACCCACCTACCCACACCCCCCACTGGATCAAACTGTTAATGACCCACATGGCTCTGGGTCTGCGGAGTCGTGTCCCGCCCCCCAACAGCCAGCCAAAAAGAAGCCCTTCTGCGGGTATGCGCTAAGATGCGCCTGTGGCCAAGGAAATCGACAAGCCAGCGAGGGAGAGACATTGACTAGCGAGCCAGGCCCAGAGAAAGGGCCCAACTTTTCAATCTCCGTGGCAGAGATCTAACTAAGCATATATTCTCCTTTTCCATTGTAACGAACGGGCTTTAAAATGTTCAGTGCCGAATGTTCAGTGCCGACTGAATAGCGCGCATAGCGATTTTTTAAAGTTTTTTTAAAAAAGATTTTTTTTTAAAAAAAATACTCCCTGTTATTAAATGTTATAAAATGAATGTTGGGTAGCAGGGGAAAAAAAAAAGGAGGTCTCAGAGTGCTTTCAAATGGTTGCCAAGTTATTCGGGTTACGTTTTTGAGATGAGCCACATGGGCCGGGAATAATTCGGATGGCTCTGTTTTGAAAGCCTATTATAAATCTGGATCTTAGATGAGTTCTGGTTATTAGTATCATAATTATTATTAGGAAGGAGGAAAGTTGCTAAAATAAGGATCCTCTTTTCTAAAACCGTCGTCCCCATCAACATCTTGAAGCACCGAAGCAGGATCTATGACTATATTATTTCCCCCCTCCCAAATAATAAATAGAACAGAAGGGGAAGTTATCTTAGAACGGCTGATATTCTGGTCAATATCACTGAATAACGCTGCAATCTCTTCCTTTATGCTTCTTCAGATAGTGTTGGAAATCGCACAGCGTTTAAGTCCTACCCTTCTTTTTAAAAAAGAAGAATTTTAGTATTTTCCTCCAGAACATTTTCCCTAACACCAGCAAGAAGGCTAAAATGAAGAAGAATTAGGTGGTAAGATATATTTTTATACCAAAAGGATTTTTCTCAAACTTTTTTTTTTTAGTGGTGGCGGGAGGGGGGGAAGGGGGCGGCAGCTTGAGAATAACGAGCAAATTTCCCCAAATATTTATTTTTCAACCTCCCCTTCCCACTTCTCTCCTTTTCAAAGCAGCCTCTTTTAACAATGCAGGAATTTTTCTTGGAAAACCAAAACAGGGCTTTCCTATCCTCTCTGTCTTTAGCTCTTTCCCTGCCTGCGGTGCAATTTGAACTCTTCACTTTTGCTGATAAACAATTTTGATTGCTTCTCACTTAAATCATGAGCAAGATTAAATAAACCTACTTCATTAGACGCGTTTGCTGGTTTCGAAAGCTAATTAAAAGAGGCTTTCCTTGGAAGAAAGGGGTGGGCTTGAGGTTTAAAAAGCTACAGATGCGCGCTCATTTAAACGCACTCAAGGAACGAACACGCGCGCGCAGATCCTGCAAGTTGCTTTCTTTCTTCCTGGGTAACAATCTCTCCCTCGCAATTGAACATTATCAAAAGAGCCAAGAAAGGAATCGAGGCTGCTTTGCCATTAAACAGACTTCCCCAAACACGCCCTTCCTCTAGTTCAGAGAAGAGAGAGAGATTTCCCCTTCCATTCTCCCAGGACAGACGTTCAAATCACTCTCCCCCTCCCCTTCGATGCCATCTCTGCACTTCTAGCGGGGCCACGAGGCGCTGGATTCTGCTAGCGAGCCTTGCTGCTCGGCCAGGTTTCCCTTGATCACAGCGTTTCCCTTCAGCCCCCAAGTTAAAAACTTCCTGCCTTTTCCACAGCCTCAGCAGTTGGATATTTCAGAACCTCCCATTCCCTGCTCCTTCCCAGGTTCGTCGGGGATACACCGCTGCCTTTCATGGCCATCGGTGGAAATTCAAGGGGACTCGCTTGCTAATATGGGATGTGCTTTCTTCCTTAGTACATTAACACTCCCCGGGTGGAGGAAGTCAAGGAGGTCTCCCTCTGGCTGGACAGCTCCATGACTGCTTTTCAATAATACTATTACAGTGGTACCTCGGGTTAAGTACTTAATTCGTTCCGGAGGCCCGTTCTTAACCTGAAATTGTTCTTAACCTGAAGCACCACTTTAGCTAATGGGGCCTCCCGCTGCCGCTGCGCCGCCAGAGCACGATTTCTGTTCTGATCCTGAAGCAAAGTTCTTAACCCGAGGTACTATTTCTGGGTTAGCGGAGTCTGTAACCTGAAGCGTATG